ACCCCATTAAACTCCAAATTCCTTAAGGACTGTTCCTGTTTTGCAATCACACACAGCCCAGGGACAAACCTGCAGTCCTAGTGCCCTTCTGAAAGTTCCCAGGGGCCCTGGACCAGGCCAGATGTTTCTTCTCTTACCCCAAAGCACTGTGTCCTAACCTTCATCACTGAAATATGTATATGCCTGAAAACCTGTTCATATCCCTTAAGACTATAAGGCTAACAGAAAGAACAAGGGATTGATCTTTACATACTTCTGGTCTTTGGTCTACCGGGCATCCTCAGTATATGTTTACTTTAATGTTTGAGGCTTGCAGGCCAGGGAGCTTCAGATACTAGGCCAACTAGAAATTCTGAGTCTTATCAGTCAGTGCTTACTAGAAAAACAGATTTAATGCAAGATATACAAATTGTAAGAATTTACAAGATTGGCTTACAATGCTGTCCACAAACTCAGATGTAGAAAGGTGCAAAAGGTCTGTCTGAGTGCTGGAGATCTGAAAGATCCTGTCCAAGACATGGAGTTCACTATACTGTCCCTTTTGAGTCTGTATCAGGGGGCCAAAAGGTGTGCAATGGAAGGCTGAAGGGTCTGGGCTGGAGACTGAAGAGTCTATACTGGAGGCCAGAAGATGACATCCAAGGAGGTAAAGACTGGAGCTCCTCTGAAGAAACAGAAGAAAGAGCAGCAACGCCACTGTTTGCTGTCACACCCAGTAAATCCCAGCAAATCTTCCAATAAATCTCAGCCACACTCAAAACTATGCCGCTGCAATTTAGTAAAGATTTACACCATTTACTTTTTGGAGCGGCCTGCAGTGTACCATACAGAAATTCTGAGTTGGCCAAGGCCCTTGGGATGCCATCATTTAGGAGTTTCCAATCTTCTTTATTACATATATTATATACACATCAGATAAAAAGAATAGAAGACCTGGGAGAGATTGAAGGCATCTATGGAATTTTCTGTGGTTCCAGAAGCATATAAAACTCAAGTTATAAAAGTTATCAAACCAGTCTGATATTCTAATTTTACAAATCAGAGAAAAGCCTCTAATTTTACAAATCATGAGAAATGTCTTGTTCAAGGTTACACGTGTGGCAAAGTGGGAAAGGAATCAGATCTGACTTCATTCACCCCTCTTGGATTCAACCTCCAATACTTGAGGCATCCCATGTGCCTTCAGCAAGTGTCTAAAATCCCAGTAACCAAGATCCAGCGTGAGTATATTTCAAAGGGAAAAAACCTTACGGGGGGTGGGGGTGGTGGACCGCACTGAGCCTATTAAACAGACTTTTCTGCATGGCAGTCTCTAGGGGCCATTAAGACAACAGAAACACCCATTGGAAAGGCAAGACACACTTCTTTGGTTTTCCTTTTCCAGGGTGGAGGAAGCCCAGGAACAGCTCCTTTGGGTGTTGGCAGGGGAGCCCCTCTCGCTGACTTTCTTGTGGTGGCTTCTTTCCCTACCTGCTCCACACATCCTTAGCTGCCAGGCAAATCCAGCCCCTCCGCCGGTGTGGTCTGGGAATCTGCGCCCTAACTCCACATTGCCAGTCTCTCTCTGTATGTTCGTGATTTAGTCACCTTTGTGTACTCCCTCTGGCACGAATGATGCGTCAGAAAGTGTTTGATAAACGCACTGAATTCTCCAGTCTCCTAAGCAACTGTTCCTGAAGGTTGTGCGTTAATTCTCATAAATCATAGCGCCCCTCCTCTTCTGCCTCCTTACAAACCCCTCAGGCCAGTCCGACCCTTCCCTGGTTTTCCTTCCTCGTTTTGATGTGGGGATCAGCTCATTTTAGGATCCGAAGCTGCACTCGGCCTCCACAGGGGCTGGTTAGGACCAAGTCCCTTGGCTGCTCAGGGATTGAGGGGAGAAAACCAGACCAACGCTTTCGGAAAAACACTTTGCAAGGTGCACTTCCTGGGGCAACCACGCCAGTCGGTCAGCCTCATTGAGTTTGTTAGGAGGACTAAGGTGTGAGTTCCCGCTGGCGTCTCTATGGTTTTGGTAGGCTAGAAACACCGGCACGGCGTTTCCGGGAAGATGGCGGCGCACATGGCTGATGGGGCACATGCTTCCGCGGAAAGGACTCAGTGAAGGTAAGCAGTCCCTTGCGCTCAGGAATAAATGTGAGGGCAAGAGGGAAGTTTTACCCTAGTGACAATGTAGTAAAAGTGCTGGAATTTAAACCGTAACAGTGAAGCAGTAGCCTTGCACCACCTCTGAAAACTCAGATTGACGGGCGAGACAGTGCCTCCATAGTGTGCTTGTAGCCTTCACAGAGACTGTGTGGCACAGTATGAAAGACCAAGTTACTTCTGTCCTCAGTTTTCCATGAAAGACTTTTAAGGCGGTTCTCGCCTGTCATTCATTTCACCAAATAACAACGTATTCTCAATTTCCTGAGCCGTCGTAAATCAGGAGCTGAGGAATAACGCTGTCACCAACTTCTGGGGCATTGCGCTCTGAATTACTGTGACAGGGGATAAGTTGTAAGCAAGGAGTACGGAGAGCTTTAAGAGACTGGGGAGTTGGGGCTGGGGGTTTAGCTCAGCGGCATAAGCGCCTGCCTTGAAAGCAGGCAGTCGTGAGTTCGATCCCTGGTACCGATAAAAATGAAAAAGACCAAAAAAAAAAAAAAAAAAAAGAGAGAGAGAGAGACTGGGGAGTGGGTGATTTAAGAATACTAGTTCTGGGGCTGGGGATTTAGCTCAGCGGCATAAGTACCTGCCTTGCAAGCAGGCGGTCGTGAGTTTGATCCCCAGTACCAATAATAAAAAAAAAATACTAGTTCTGAAAAATACTAGTTCTGGAATGCCTAAATACCGACCCTTGATCCCCTACTTGCTATTTGACTTGTGCATTAATTAAGCCTTTCAGTCCTGTTTCCTCATTTGTAAATTATGGACAAGAACACCTAATAGTGTCGGTGGCAGAATTAAATGAGATAATTCGTGTGCAGCAATTAACAACAACCTGCCACTGAGTAAATGTTCAATAAGTGGTATATGGTATTGAACCCAGTACCTTCACCCAGCTACATCCCCAGCTTTTTAAAAATTTGTTTTTTGAGGTAAGAGTCAGTTCCTGGGCTGGGCTTAAACTTGAAATCCTCAGCATTGGGAAGGCTGAGGCAAAAGGTTTGCCCTCAAGTCAAGTCCAGGCTGCACTACATAGTGAGACCCTGTCTCCGACAACAAAAGATCTTTATTCCTTAGCTTTCCAGAATGCTGGGCTTTTATAGGTGTGTGCCACATTCCCGGTTTGAATATGATTACTTGTATTACTGTTGAAATATAGAGATGAGTAGATCAATGATGACTTCTGAAAGTAGGCAGTGTTGAGGTGACCCTTAAGGCCTCAACATTTGAATTTTATTATATCAAGAAGCAGGATGAGCTGTTTGTTCAGTCAGTGCTTTTCTATTGGTGCTCTCAAGGTGTCTTAGCTTTTCAGGGTATCATCCTTCACAGAAGGCATGGGAATAGACGTGTGAGGCATCTGACTTTGCCTCTCTTTGTACCTAAAAAGACTGCTTACTTTCTGGAACCTAGTACATAATCTATTGGAGGAGTGACTGTAATGGTGTGGGGTTTTCTTTGGAGGGGGGAGGACGACAGGGTCTCACTATATAGTCCAGGCTGGCCTCAAAGTGATCTTCCTGCTTTAGCCTCCTGAGTGCTGGGATACAGGGGTATGCCACCATGTCCAGCTCTGATTTTTTTTTTAATAGGATCCCTACCAGACCTTAACTCAAATGGAAGTTTTATCCTTTCTAGTTGTCTTTTGGAGAGGCCACAGTAGTCCCATTAGTCAGCTTCAACAACTGTCAGTAAATCCTATGATAAAGAAATGTCCATAGATCTAAGCACAAGTTAACTATTGTGAATCAAGTCAACATTGGTAATTTTAGTTTTGAATATTTTGTGTGATAACCCATCTTAACAATTTCAGAGGCAAAATTTAGTGTATAAATTGTATAGTGCTTTTCTGGGTTCAAAAGGAGGAGCATGTGAATTATAAAGAAATATCACTGGGCCGGGGATTTAGCTCAGCAGCACAAGCATCTGCCTGGCAAGTGTGAGGTCACGTTTGATCCCTGGTAACAAAAACAAACAAACAAAAAAATTTGGATTCATTGTAGTTCTATCTTTTACTAGCTGTGTTTCTTCAGGCAGGAAACTACAGTCTTGTTTTCCTCATTTGTAAAGTAAGGATGATACCTATTTCAAAGGACTAAAATTAAATGACAGTATGTATAATCTACCTCTTATGCATTAAATGCTCACTAAGAGTGCCCATCCTAAACAGGACAGTTTCAAAAGGAAGTTCCAATAGTTGTGAAATCAGCCACAATGTGGGAGAAATGTGTAGCATCCATAGCAAGAGGAGTATAAATGCTGAGGCATGGGCACAAGGTGTAGGCTGTTAAATATCATAATTCTGCTAAAAAAAAAAAAAAAACCCTTATGGGTTTGTTTTCACAGGGCAGTAGACTTTGGGAGATGTTATCATGAGGTGGTGACAAATGTGAGCTCTACAGACAAGCTGCCTGGTTTGAATTTTATACACGCTAGCTGTGTGACTGAGTGAGCGCCATCTAACCTCTAAGCCTTAACTTCATCTATAAAGCAGAGACGACTATAATACTTTCTTGAATAGGCTGGGAAGGCTGAAAGAAATACATGGAAAACCTTGGCAATCTGGCACATGGGAAGCCTGCCTCAGTTCGAACACCAGTTCTGACTCTAGCATATTGGTATTGGGCTCTCTATGGTCAGTCAGGGAGCTCCCAAGAGACCGGGGGGGGGGGGGTGTCCCTGTCTACCCCAAGGGAATTCTTAGGGTTTAGGAAAGAGAATTCTTTCAGACCAGCCAGGATGAGGTTGATAACTGCTTTGGGCACTTTCTCCTTCCTTCTGAATACAACTGACTTTATTTTTATTTCATTTTTTTTTAACCAGGGATTCAACTTAGGACCTTGCACTTGCCAGGCAGGCACTTACACCACTGAGCTAAATCTCCAGCCCACTCTTTATCCCTCTGAAAAGGACAATGTTCTCTCCTCCCCTGGTGAGATCCTGAGACATCTTTACTGACCATGAGTGTTATCCCAGATGTCAAGAGTCGAGGAATGAAGTTTGCTGAGGAGCAGCTGCTAAAGCATGGATGGACTCAAGGTGATCCTGAGGGCCTTCCACACCCCTAGCTTCCTGCGTGCTTTCTGTCCTGGGGGACCTGTGTCAGTCTGGATTAGTCCCTGTGGTCCTTTCAGTAGAAAACAGAAAACTAGTTTAAGTGGAAATCTGCAGAATTTTTTGACATCTTGAAAATGGGAAAATGAGAGAAACTTGATGAAAAATGAAGATATGGTTGGGTGAGGGGAGACATTAAAAGATGTGGCCTCTGCCCCCTGAGTTATGACAGGAAAGATAGTTTAGGCTCAGAGAATAAAGTTGCATGGGCCAGGGATTTAGCTCAGCAGCTTAAGCGCCTGCCTGGCAAGCTCAAGGTCAATGAGTTCGATCCCCAGTACCACAAAAAAAAAAAAAAAAAAAAAAGAATACAGTTGCATGGAGTAGTAATAAAATAGTGCCAAGAGGATTTCTAGAAGGGACAGAGTATTCCCCAATGCTAGATATGTGGAAGGGCAAAGAGTGGCATGTGTGAAATGTTGAGGATTCAGGTAGTCTATAGAAGCCAACTCACCATTTTCCTTTACAGGTAAAGGCCTGGGCCGAAAGGAGAATGGCATCACCCAGGCCCTCAAGGTGACACTGAAGCAAGACACTCATGGGGTAAGCCTGAGCAGGCTGGTCAGCATGGACAGGAAAGGGGACCCTGGAGAGCACATGGGACAGGTACTCAGTTCATACTTAACTCTCCTGGCAGGTGGGACATGATCCTTCCACGGAGTTTACAAACCAGTGGTGGAATGAGCTCTTCAACAAGACTGCAGCTAATTTGGTGGTGGAAACTGGGCAGGTACAAGCTGACAAGCAGCCATGTGAGACCTGACAGCCTAGGACACAGGGTGGGGGAAGACATGGTATATCACTCACTGATACTTTCCAACAGGATGGAGTACAGATTAGGCATCTCTCTAAGGAGACCACCCAGCGTAATCGTCCCAAGCCCAACTTGCTGTATCAGAAGTTTGTGAAGGTATTACAGACTGGGATGAGAGTCCCTCCCTCATCTCCCCTGGGTTTTGAGCAATTGCTTTGTGGCCAACTGACTCTCAGGACTGCCCTAGAATGGTGAGAGATCCTGTGGCCAATCTTGTGCTTAAGAATGGCCAGGCCCTCAGCAAGAACTGAGATCTTTGAGTTCTATGGATCCCTGCTATCTGCTGGCAGGGGAAGGGGGGAAGATAGAGGGAGTTGGGTAGTGGTATGGGTGTCCAAGTCAAAAGATGAGACCTAGGAATTACCTAGTCCATCCTTAGTTCACGTATGTGGCCAAAAGGGTGGAAGCTGGCTTGTTGAAGAGCTCACAGTTGGCTGGTAATGGCAGACAGAACCAGAACCCAGGTCTTGGGGTTTTACTTTCACCAGACTAACAGGAGAAAAGTTAACATTTAATGATCATATACTAAGGACTTTACATGTTACACAGCAAATCTTCCCCATTCTCTGTATCTTTGTTGCTTTATACTACTCTATGACATTATCACCCTTTATTTTTTTTTTTAGTCGTTTTGAGACAGTTTCACTATGTAGTTCAGACTGGCCTAGAACTCACTATGTAGCCCAGGCTGGCCTCCAACTTGCAGCAATCCTCCTGCCTCCGCCTCCTGACTGCTGGGATTACAGGGGTCCGCCACCACACTAGGCCATCACCCCTTTAATGGTTTTCTCACTAGTCTCATGCTACCCCAATCTATTTACCTTTCGCACATCCATAGTGCAAATTGGAGGTCAGCCTGAGCAACATAAGGGAGTTCAAGGTCAGCCTGACCTACATAGCAAAAAACAAAACAATCATCTAGAGTAGGTTTTTGTTTTTGTTTTTGTTTTTTTTAAAGGGTACTGGGGAGCAGTGCTTGGGAATACAGCAGGCCCTCATGCATGCAAGACAAATGCTCTACCACCAAGTTCCAAGTTATATCCCCAGCCTGAATGTTCTAAACATTCATCTTGTCACTGGCTGGTGACTGTGATGGCAGTCTAGACTTACCAGACTGGCTTACATGATCCTTCATGCTTTGTCCCTGCCTTCTCCAGCCTCCTCTCTTGCTAGTTTTCCCTAGAACCACTACACTTCAGCCAAACAGAATCTTTTCTTTTGAAACGCTGTTCTCCCACCTTCAGGTTTCTATGTACATACTCCCTGGCTAGGGATATTCTCTTTGCCCCTTTACCTCACTTGTCTTCCAAGACAAGAAACTCATCAGTTCATCCCAGAAACCATTCCATGAACCCTGCAGTCTGGAGTGGCATCTGTACCCCAGGCAATACTTCCTTCCTAACTATTCATATCCTTCTGGATTCCCGTCTCACCACATAGTTCCATCTGGGCCGGAACTACCATGCACTCAGTCTGCTTTGTATCCCCAACTCCTTGGCTATAACAGAGTCTCAGTCTAGTTAAACAAAGTACTGTGACTAGGTATTGGGTGGGAGGTACTGTGCCACTTTATTATCAGTTACAGCACTTACTGGGAGGACCTGGTGACCCAAAACACTTTCTTCCTTACGCATACCAGCCAGCTATGAGCCAGAGGCAAAACTGCTCTACCTCCCAGCTACTACAGCCCACTTCCTACTCAAGATGAGGCATGCAGGCCATAGTTCTCCCTGGCTCTGCAACAGTGTTGGGGGCTGGCAGATTCCAGCCTAGGGCTATAAACTCCTGGTGGGCTTCTACAAGGGAAGAGGGATGTGTGTCAGTCAAGTAGGCCTTGTCCATCCCCATGGTCCCCTTTTGATCCCCTGTCTAGACAGCCACACTGACTTCAGGTGAAGAAAAGCCAGACAGAGACTTGGAGAGCTGCACTGATGACAAGCAAGGGCCCACGCCTCCAAAGATGTGAGAGCCTCCTCTTAGCCCTGGGCCATGTGGGAAATACCCTTGATCATGAATAAAATATCAAGCTGGATGTTTCAGGGGCTTCTCGGGGAGGCGGTTATCCTTTTGTGTCTGTAGCAACTTGAAAATTGCCAGGTCTTGAACAAAAACTCAGTACCGAAACATTCTGGAGGGGAGGAGAGGTTGAGCCCTTCCACCAGTGTAACTCTTCATCTGCCCTCACAGTCTGACTGACGAGATGCTGCTCCAGGCCTGTGAGGGACGAACAGCACACAAGTAAGTCATGGTCACCTCCTTGAGGTCCTTTTTTTTTTCTCCCTAACCTTGAGAATAGCCTTTAACACCTTTGGATTCTTTTCACTCCAGGGAAGTAATTCCTACTATTTACCTACCTACTGTTTAAAGACAGGCAATTCTCTGCTTCCCAACCTTCTCCTTCCCCTGCAGATATAAGGGAAGACCCATCTCCCCTGATACCACTGCTGACTAGGACCATGTCTGTTTCAGGGCTGCCCGTCTTGGAATCACAATGAAGGCTAAGCTTGCTCGGCTAGAGGCCCAGGAGCAGGCCTTCCTGGCTCATCTCAAAGGCCAAGACACGGGGCCCTTTCCATCACAGAATGAGAGCAAGCCCCCCAAAAAAAAGAAAAAGAAAAGGAAGCAAGAAGAGGAGGCTAGAACAGTGGAAAAGAATCAGGAGCACCTACACAATGAGCACCTAGAATACACCAACCAGAGCATCAGGAAAAGCAAGAAAAAAAGAGGACATAAAGAATATGTTATAGACGAGAGAGAAGGAGCCTTAGGGAAGGAGGAGGAGCAGGCTACAGGGCTTGGGGAATTTAACAGAACACAATCCAATCAGCCTCACAAAAAAAAGAAGAGACAACAGCACAAAAAGGAGGAGGAGGAGGATGATACTAGGGTTTTGGGTAAAGAGAGAAGAGGGAAGGAGGCTGTGGGGCATGTCTGGGAAAAAGTAGACAGCAGAGCGTGCACTGAACCCAGCAGCAGAAACAAAAAGAGACAGCATGAGGAGGACTTGAAAAAAGAGGATGGAGGGGAGGAGATAGCTTTAGATGGTGAGACCAGGAAAACAGAAAGCAAAACGCACAGTAATAAAAGCAGCAAGAAGAAAAGACAGCACCCTCAGGAGGAAGAGACCTTGGGTGTATGTGATGAAGATGAGGATGGTGGGACTAGAGAAATACAAAGCAGAGATAAGAAAAAGAGGGAGCAGCACCCAGAGGGGGAAAGAACTAGAGTCAGCACTAACCAGAGAGCCAAAAAGAAGAAGCAAAAGAGAGACTAACTGTCTGGTCAGGGTGGGACTCAACTGATTCCTTTCCAACTATAGTATTACGACCATTGTTATTGCAAGACTTGTGCACCCCTATATCAAGTCCCTCCCTCCCAAGAAGGAAACAGCTCTCTGCTTCAAGGAATGCTTTGCCAACCCTTAGTTGAGGGCATGGATGTAGTGACCTCTGCAGCTTCTAACCCAAAGACCACAATTTCAAATACTTTCGGGAGCCAGGCACCTAAGGAACAAGGGTTACTGAGGACCATAGAAAAAGGATCACAGATGGGGCATCTTCATTTGAAGGTACATTTCTGCCTTAAGAGGCTGAAAATGTAGACTTACAGGAATGTCTTGGTTTTTAAATACAATATTAAGAAAAACAAAATTTAGATCTATGGGCTACATTCATCTCACATGTTCCCAATTTCTGATATTATAAATACCATCAACCTGGGTCCCTGACCTACAGCTGAGCGGCAACATGCATTTCTACTCCCAGCCTGGGAAAGTTCTGAGTAAAAATTATGAGTTTTTTTTCCTTGGGGACTTTAAAGATATTCCTTCTGTTAACCTGAAATCTTGTTACACTAATATAAATGGAAATCGCTTACAGTAGCCGTCCATTTCCCTGTCTGTGTTCCAAAGAGGTAAGAAGCACTTGTGTAAAGGACAGCACACCTCACAGTGTCTATCTAACAATTACTTTTCATTGCATTCAGTGCCAGTGATCTCTTGGCTGTTCTAAGTATCACATCTCTGGTGTTGCTCTCTAGCTCTTAAAACTAAATTTTTTTTTTTTTTTAAGACAGTTTCACTATGCATTTCAGACTGGCCTTGAACTCATTTTGTAGTCAAGGCTGGCCTTGAACTCAGTGATCCTCTTGCCTCTGCTTCCTGGGTGCTGGGATCACAGATGTGCACCACCATCCCTGGCCCACTCAATAATCTTTATGGCCAGAAAAGCTCCCAGGCCTCCATAGTTCTGGGAGAGATGAACCAAGTCTCTAGTGACAAGCATGCTCACCTGCCTCCCTCATTGCAGACGATAGACACACTCGGTGTCAGGGTAGGGTGGCAGGTTCAAGTGGTACTTCTTTTCCAGGGCAGGTGGTACAAAACGACCCCCCAAGTAATGGTAGCGACCAGTAAACTGGGTTGCAGACTTTTTAGGTGCTGTCAAGGAGATGAGCATGTCTGGCTGGATCCCTCCAGAGCTGCCTTTCTCCACATCCCATCCTGAAAAGACAGTAGTAGTAGTATTCAAGAGGCATGGGAAAGATCAAAAGGTCTAGACCTTTTCGACAGGTTGCTTCGTACTAGTCCTAAAGGAGCCCATATCTTACTGTGAGGAGTTCATCCCAGGAACAACATGCACCTTTGGGTTTCAGTGTCTTCATAGGGCCAACATGGAAAGGGGGCTCTTGAACTTTGTTCCTCAGCCCTACAATGAGACCTAGAAGGCTGTGTTCTGCCCACTTAGGCTCAAAATTCTTTGAGACCTGATCTGAGCTGTGTCTAAGAATTAGGCCATACACTGAAGCATCAGCCTTGAGACAGTGTATGGCCTAAAGTCCTCCCCAACTTTCAGATCCCAGCACCTGAGGGAATGTCGATGCTGGCAATGGGCACAGTGAGTTCATGCAGGACACTAAGGATGCTGCGGAATGGCTCACGAACATCGCCTTTGAAGCTGAAGCCAAAGATGGCATCTACCACCAGCTCATACAGCTCGTCAATCATCGGGGGCTAAAGTGAGGGAAGAAAAGGATGTCAAGGCTGGGGATATAGCTCAGCAGGGAAAGCACCTGCCTGGCAAGTGGTAGGTCATGAGTTTGATCCCCAGAACCAAGAAAACAAAAAGGATGTCAGAACTGCAGCTGCACAGAGAGCCTCATTGAGGAGAGCTGACCTCTGACCCAGAGCCCTCAGAGCACAGTAGTATACTTGCACCTCATTTAGAGGGTCTCCTAAGGTCTAGGATAAGGATGAGCTGGTCACTGAATCAGGCCAAGCTAAGTCTAAACCTTGTTTTGACAGTACTATACTAGGGTCGGTCAGAACTCAGAACAGCTCTTCCACTTAAGTACAGCCCCAGCTTCCCAATCTTTTTTAAACTGTATTTTGAGACAAGGTCTTAAGTTGCCCAGGCTGGGCTCAAAATTATGATCCTACTGTCTCAGCTTTCTAAGTAGCTGGGATTACTGGTGTATACCAGATACATTTTCTATTCTGAGTGCCTGCTTGCCAGTGGGAAGGCTGTAATGTGAGGAGGATTAAATTCTGGTTTTAGCTGTGTAATACAAGACAAACCACTTCTCTGTATTTCATCTGTAAAATGTGGTAAGAAAGTTAAAACATCTCAAATTGTCCACCCCTGAGTCCATGCCGAATGGGTTTAGAATGAGGCAGTTTCTCTACCCCTGGACAGACAGGTCACAAGCAGTCTATACTAAGGAAAATCTGACTATAGAAGGAGACTCAGTGTAACTCATGGAAGAGGAGTCTTTTCTACTTCTTAGACACCTTTTATGCTGGGCTCTGGGTAAGCAGAGCATGGTCAGTGGCAACGGGAAGAGGGACTGAACTGAAGCCACTCACCTCTGAAGGCATTTCACCGAGGAAAGGGATGTCCATTTTCTGACACTGAGTCACCAGTGCAGTGAAGAGTGGTTTGTTAGGTCTCTTGGGGTAATAGATGGATGGTTGGTAACCCTACGAGACAAGGCAAGTGGCAATTCAAACAAATCCTGTAGTCTTCATGCCCTCTCCCAGAGCTTCCAGTCCCCATGGACTCACAAAGAGTTTGAGGTGTCGGGCACAGACCAGGCCATCTCCTCCGTTGTTCCCTGGGCCACAGATGACCAGGACAGCAGGGGGGCTCTTGGACAAGGACGCAGCGGGATATGCCTGAAGGCAGAGGCAGGGTTTCAGGCAGCCTGCCTCCAGCCCCAGCGCCCGGCGCGGGGCTTGGAAAGCGCCACCCCCGCTCCTCCCAGAGGTCGCAAAATGCACCCCTGACCTTCGCGATGGCTGTGGCGCAACTCAAGCCAGCCAGCTCCATGAGTTGGTCCACGCTGAACTGGTATTCGTTAAATAGTTCCTGGTCCACGGCCTGCGCCTCCTCCTGGCTGTGGGAAGCCGCAGCTTGAGTCCCTAACTCGGCAGACACCGCCCTGGCCCCAGTCCGGGTACCGCCCCTAGCCTCGCCTACCTCAGGTATTTCACCGCCGTGCCCGCCATGACTTTGGAGTTCCCACGACTGGCCGAGCTTAGCCGCTGTGCCCCGGACCAGGGGAGTACTGCGCGGCAGACGCCGGCCTGGCTTCGCACGGGCTGCAGCCGCGAGCCCGCCACCAGCAGCCCGAGCCCCAAGAGCGCCCGCAACCCAGACATCCACCTCGCCCCGGGCACGCGCCACCGGCCCGCCCCCCCGCGCATGCGTGCCGCTCGTCATGTCCGGGAGACTGTGGTTGGGCATATCGCCTGCCGGAAGTGGTCTGGTGGCAGCTGGCGCGGTCCGACCTTTCTGGTTCCGGGGCATTCTGCTAGGCGCGCGCTGCGAATTTTGGAGCGCTCTTCCTCCGCTGGGCAACCGGGGTTGCCCTCTGTGACAGCTGGATCCCATCCCTGCCAGAGAGCGTGGACGGAGGACCGCGTTGCAGATCAACTCAAGAGCTTTGATTGCTTCCAACTGCGCTTTGGTAATGTTTATTTTTAATTTTGGTACTGGGGATCGAACTCATGACCTCGTCACATGTCAGTCAGGCGCTTGTGCGGCTGAGCTAAATCCCTGGCCCTGTGCTTTGGTAATCTTTATTGGTGGTTTTGTAGTGTTATAGCTTAGCTGTAACCAATGCGCCTTCATCTTGTTCTGTATGCACTGCCCCATAAGGTTAAGTTCCCATAAGAGCTTAAATTTCAGCTTCTTGTAAATCCTCTACCCGCTTCCACATGCTTTTGGTAAAATGTGCTGTTTCTCCGAGAAATGTTTAATTCCAGAGGGCAACGGAATGTACCAAGAATTCCAGATGTTATTAGAACTAAGTCAACAGCTTTGCGGTTTTTTAGCTTTAAAGATCCTACTCCTAGTCTGTAAGGCGCGCAGTCTCTGGGTCGATCCTGAGGGGGCTGCGTCGCCAGGCCTGGAATAAAGCCTTTGCTCCCAATTTCTTGCTTCCTTGGGTTTTATTCCGGGGTCCAAGCTATCTCAGTATTTGTTTCTGGAACTGTATGAGGGGCTGCAGGTAGAACACAGTGACAAAGCTTTTCTAGCTGTGTGAGGCCCCAGGTTCCATGCCCAGCAAGAGAATCAGGGAAGCGCCTGGCTCCTGTCCTATCGTTTTCTGACATGTCTCTCCTGGTGCCAGTCTCTCGCAGCACATGAGGAACTGGCTTGCACGCTTCACAGTGCCAATTCTGGCACAACTCTCTGGAAGGCCAGGTACCACCTGCTGCATACATTAGGCCAGCGTTCTTATTTACACTAAGGAATATAGGACCCTTGTCTCCATGACGTCTGTTTACCCTATCTCACTTTTTACACTATCATAGTATACTTCTGTACTACAAATCCTGAATACCTGGGCATGGTGCCACACATCTGTAATCCCATCACTTTATAGGCAGGTGCTGGGCTTGGCCCTCCTACCACATGGTATATCCTCTACAAATATTTTAATAAATCCTCAAAGTCTCCCTGTAAAGTAGTTCAGAGTATTATAGAAAACCAGGAAGGGCAGAGAACATGCCACCTCACAGTAGGCTATTTTTGTGTAAAGATTATTTTGGGTTAAAGTTCCTTCAAAAAAAAGGAGGTACAAGAGGCCACTAACTGTCAGGTCCAGCACAGCTTTTGAAACTGGAAGGAGGATGGTAGAGGATTAAAAAATAGAGGAGTCAAGATGCTGCTGGGGTTCAGTGGCACAGTGCCTGACTAGGAAGCACAAGGTTGTGAGTGGGATCCCTGGTATCAAAAAACCTTAAGAGGGCTGGGGATTTAGCTCAGCGGCATAAGTGCCTGGAGGCTGTGAGTTCGATCCCCCGTACAAAAAAAAAAAAAAAAAAAAAAAAAACCTCAAAATGTAGGAAAGCTGAGGTCAGGTAGATTCCCTCTCCCGGTGGCAGAAAGGACTGCTCAACAACTACAGTGCATTTATTTATACAGTCAGCATAGGAGGATGTTGCAAAACATCATGCCTTGGTAATTACACAGGAAACAAGGGGGGAAGTGCCCATATTATCTCAGCGGAAGGCACTTTGTGTGTGCAGCTCTCTGAACTGCATACACTTCTCATGGGGCCCTGCCAAATGCATGAGAAGCAGTGACCTTGTCCTGAATTATAGACAGCTGCACTCTCAACATGTAACCTCCCTTTTCTTTCTGAAAGCAAGAAATAAGCCAGCTGTGATTGTACACACCTGCAATCCCAACATTCAGGAGGATGAGGCAGGAGGCTCACCACAAGTTTAAGCCAGCCTGGGCTACATAGTGAAACACTGTCCAAAAAAAGAAAGGAAGGACTGGTACATGAAAGACTTCCTCCTTGTGCCAAAAGGAAAGGAATCACCAAAGATGGGGGGTAGAAGTGTAGAAAAATCTAACTGATTTCATCTTCCTCTCCATGTCTTTTCATTGCTTTTCCATAACCACTTTTCTTTGACCTAGTATAAAAGCATCTAGGTTTTGCTTCTTCTTTGGGGTATTCATTTCCTCATGAGGCCTCCTGTGTCACCTAAAACCTTTTAAAATCTGCATGCTTTGGGCCAGGGATTTAGCTCAGCCACATAAGCACTTGCCCGGCAAGTTCGAGGTCTTGAGTTCAATCTCTGGTAACAAAAAACAAAACAAAACCAAAAAAATCTGCATGCTTTTCATGTCAATTTAATTCTCAGACCCAGACAAAGACCCTTAAAGGGCTGAAGTTATGCTTCCCTATGTCTCCATATCTAACCTTGTCAGAATATTTTTTATTTCAATTTAAAGTACATTTATTTACTCCTTGTCAAAGAGGAGCTAGGATCTTTTACATAAATCATCTGCAATTTTTAGTCTGCTTCTTTAAAGTGAATCAACAGTGACATGTTTGGAGCAATAGAAATGTGTAATCCAACTAGAATGTTAGGATTTTCTTCTTAATTTGTAATCTTGCTCACATCTAATTCAATAGCAGTTTTTAAAAGTGACTCACTTTAATCAGGTATTTTAAGGATCCAGTTTTTAGAAACAACTTGTTTTCACACATAGTTCATCTGTTTAGTGTGTGTGTGTGTGTGTGTGTGTGTGTGTGTGTATGTTTTGTTGTGTTTATACCAGGAATCCAACTCATGTCCTTGCGCTCGCCAAGCAAGTGCCATATCGCTAAGGTATATCCCTGGCCCCACTTATACAATATTTAACTAAATTCTACCTTGCAATAATGTACACAGTCAACATGAGCACACATGAAACATCACAACAGCCTGCTAAGCAAGGCTTGGCCAGGGGAGGGAGGCACACAGCAGGACCAAAGGTACACACTTCTGGGTTTGAAGCTTCTCCACCTACTTTATGTGTAACCTGGAATTGCTACAAGCCTTAGAAAGTGGAGCATATGGATTGGTTAAGATGTCTTCTGTAAAGTGCTGGTACACTGCTGTAATTCCCCCACACTCTGGGAGACTGAGGAGGTCACTGCAAGGTTAAGCCCATCCTGGGCAACTTACTGACTTAGGGAAGACGTCTTCTTTGGTATTACATCTCCGCTTCCCACATGAATATTTAATGTGCTGGAGAAAGTCAGTGACTCCAGAGTCGCCGGGTCACCTAATCAAGAAGTCATAGTTTTAGAGCTGCCAAAGACCTTAGCAATCAAGGTTTGGATCCGGAAAGAAAAAGGGAAATTCATTATCCTTTTGCCTTTTACCCACTGAGTTCCAAATTTCTGATAAGGGGCAAAGAGATCGTCTCAGGCTGAGACAGCATCATTTGCTCCTCTCATATAGGAGCCCACTCACTGATCATGCTGTGTTCCCTGCATCCATGCAGGGTCAAAGGCCTGGGAAGGGGCTCCAACCCCAAGTCCCACTCAAAGCATCCAGGTCATGTGATTGTGCAGAAGCCAGATGGGGTGACTCTCCTCAGAGGGCTCCTACTGAGGTCTTCCCTGGGCCACCTGGATGACCTGGGGAGGCAGGGAAGGGTTCACCATCAGGGCACTGAGGAAAGAGCAGAAGGCTGAGTCTCTGGCTCCAGCCTCTTGTGCCCTCCATGGCCCTCATTTCCATAATTAGACCCCAGGGCCCACTCTTCCTGCAGGGCTCTGCCCTTCCCTGAGGCCTGCACTCAGGCCATGCAGGAGGCAGACCATGCCACAGGCCTTCAGATCTGAACCAAGGCTGTTCAGACTGCTGACCGGCAAAGATGAAGACACTCAGGGGCCTGCACCAAAGCACCAGATCACACATCTCCAATTTTAACGCTGGAGGTGGCCTATTAAGACCATGTCAAGCCACAGCCTCTTCTGCTTCTTCTGTCCCTCCCTCAGAGGCTTACCTTTTACCTTGGGGGCCACTGTGTACAAGGATGCAGGGGTATCCCACTCTTGGGGGGCCTGCACCTCCAAATGGAAGGTGGTCTATGTGTCCTGGACCTGGAAGGAGAGGATTATATACATTCTTCACAGGTTTCCCATTATGGTGGGAAAGAGAAAGCTCCAGAAGAGGAACGAGGTGGTGAATGTCAGGGGATGCACACCGGGCTACACCAATGCCTGTGCCATCACTGGGCAGATGCTCAGTAAACGTGAGCTAATCAGAAGATCTGGCTCACTGTGCCTGGGAGGACATACACTGTAAGGAAGACCTAGCTGTGTTCAAGCAGCAGGGAACTTTGCTCCCAGTGCTGGCATCTGGCAGAGAGACAGACACTTGATAGAGGTAAAGGGGTGTGCCCTTTATCACTGAGGAAGTTCTGTAAGCAGTGAGCTGTGGTAAGAAAAGCATCCAGTGAAACACTGGCAGGTGGGGCTGTGGATTTAGCTCAGCGGCATAAGCGCCTGCCTTGCAAGCAGGCAGCTGTGAGTTCGATCCCTGGTACCGATAAAAACGAAAAAGACAAAAAAAAAAAAAAAAGAAAGAAAGAAAGAAAGAAAAGAAACACTGGCAGGTAACAGATTCTCAACAAACCTTAGTGCTCTGAGAGGCAAAGCTCTGCAAGTTAGGAGAGCAGGGGAAGCAGTGAGGAAGGGGCAAATCTGAAAAGAGTTCCAGGGGAAACAGGCACGGTAGGGAAAGGAAGCAGCAATGTAGGGAGGGCTGGACCAGGGACTGGCAACCTAGACAGTCAGGGTCAGGGTGGCTCAAGGGCCAGGAGGACCAGGAAGGTGGGAAGAGAGTTCCACTGGTGGGGAAACAGGCACAACCCCAGCTGCCCACTTCCACTCACGTTCCAGTCGCTGAGGCCCAGATACTACAGGAACATTCGCTGACCCCTCTTTCTCTTGGTGGCACTCCTCAAACTCTCCATCATCCCATTCACTGAGAGATCTGCAGGGCAGGGAACCAGGTACAGCCCAGCATTGGGGCACCTGGCAAGGTTGCTCTTCCCTGGGCTATGGATGAGGTCCCAGCCCTCATATTCCTCTGCAAAGCCCCATACCACTCACCTGCACTGGGCATCTGCTGAGCCCTGTTGCATCCTGGTTGAGGTCTCTGCCACCTGGCAGGTGGTGCCTGAAGCCTCGGGCCTCTCCAGAGCCAGGGTCTAAGAATGTAGGGAAGTTAGGGAAGCAATGTGAGAAAAAAGGTCCCCCAGGTGTGCCTGTGAGTATATGTTGCCTTCAGATACCTGCAGGGAGATATGATGACCCCAGAGAGACAGATACTTGCTTGATAGAGATATTGGGGTATGCCACTTATTGCTGAGAATTAATTCTAGGGTGAAGCCCTTTGTCTGTGAAGGATCCCACTGTAGCTATCAAGCTAGAGCTCAGGCCTATGGGCCTGACCTCTACTCAATTCTGACCACCACTCCATCGTGTCCAGAACCTTACCTGGCAAGACGTGATGCCAAACCTTGGGTGGGGCCAGATCTACTGACCCACAATCTAATACCCTGTCTGTACTAGACTTTTTTTTTTTTTTTTTTTTTTTTTTTAGGCAGGACCTCACTAAATTGCTAAATTGCCCAGGCTAGGCTTGAATTTGCAATCTTTCTGCCTCAGCTTTCCAAAGTGCTGTTATTATAGCCCTGTGCCACTATGTCCAGCTCAGCCTCTTTTTTTTTTTCCATGTGTTCAACATATACTAATTTTTTTTCAGAGCTGGGGATGAACCCCAGGGTGTTGCACACATTAGACAAGTGTTCTATCATTGAGTTGCATTCCCAGACCCAGGATAATTTAATTTTGCTTGCAGATTATAAATATGATGTCCTAGTCATTTTTTATGAGAGGACATAAACTCTACTACATATTACTAAGTACATACTATAAAGTATTTCAATTCCCAATATGGAATAAGGTTTCCTAAGTGCAAGGGAAGAAGCCCTTGGAGAGACAAGGCCCTGAGAAGACCAGGGAAGACTGGCGGGGAGAGACAGAGATGCCTTCTAACCTGGAGATTGGTGAGGACTTCTTTGGAGCACTATCCCCACCCTGTGGCCATTGAGGGAACTGTACCCAGGGATTTACACCCGGTTCCAGGTCCTCATGTTTGACTTACTTAGAATCCTTGATTGCAAACTTTGGCCTTCACTGAATGAGCTTCTTAGCATTCAGCCAAAGCCCTATGCTGGAGATGTGCCACAGTTCCCACTGCTTCCCTGCCCCAGGCACAAAATATGCACAAGTAAGCCCAGGGGCAGTCAGGAGGCATCCCAGAGAACATCAGGCCTACTTGCTCCCAGCCTCCTCTGGGAAAAACACCCCCAAACCCCATAGCTCCTGCTCTCAGGTGTCATCTCACCAAGAGGTGACCCTGGACCAGCTCACCTGGGTCAAATGTGTCCTCATGACATCTGTCAGCTTGGCCACCAGCCGTCCTCGTGTAGAATCTGGCTCCTTCTGGGGAGGAGGATAATGGGAGAAAGGTGAGGGAAGCCTGGGATTTGTAGTCCCTAGGGGACTAGGGGAGAAAGAAACAGAGAAAAAGGAGGGAAAAGAGCTCTTCTCCCCTGTCTTCTATGCTATCTTGTGCCTTTCCCAAGTCCTGCCATTGATTGCTCAACTCTGTGAACAGAGGTCACCTCTTCCCCACAATAGTGTCCCACACACTGGCTGCAGTGTGCAGTACCTGTTTGAAGAGTGAATAAATGATGATGGAGAGGAGACAGGAGCAAAGACAGGAATGTCTGCTAAAAGGCTTCTAAAGGAGGGTGGCAGGGAATAGTCAGAGTGTAATACAGATCTCACCTGACACTGGGCCAATGCTTCCTTATAGTACTTCAAGGCCTGGTCATACTGCCCCAGTCTGGCTGCAGCAGCTCCAAGCCCCTCACAGGCCTGCCATTGCCCCTTCATGTCACCTGGCGAGAGAGCCTGAAAGGTCCCCTCACGGCTCCCTATCCCATAACCCCCCCCCCATTACCCTATCTCTCTTTGCCAACCCCAAGGATCCTGTCTTTTTTTTTTTTTTTTTTTTTTTTTTAGGTACCAAGGATTGAACTGACAACCTCGAATTTGCCAGGCAGATGCTTGTGCCACTGAGCTAAATCTCCAGCCCAGGACCCTGCCTTTGCCACCAGCTCCAGTTCCATGCCAATTCCCATACCCTTACCAGTGTCCCGGGCAGCCTGTAGGGCATGCAGATAGTTGTCTCTGGCCACCCTGTGGTCCCCCAGCTGACTCAGTGCAAATGCCAGGCTAGCAAAGCTTCGGCCCTGTTCCCACCGCTGCCCGATAGAGCCTAAGGACAGAGAGCACCCATCCTGAAGGGGACTATGGTTGCTGGAAGTGAGTCCAGGAGCCCTGGTACCCAGCCTCAGCTTGTATGCACACAGGCAGTAGACCTCCAGCCTCTCCCTTCAAGCCTCAACCTCACCCAGAGTTTTGGCCCAGGTTCTGGTTTAAGCCATGCAGCAATCTTGGGAGATAGGTGAGGAAGGTGTCAGTGGCTCCATTTGTATATATATGGAAGGAAACTGAGGGCAGAGAGGCAGTGACTTTCTGAGTGTCACACAGAGGGGCTGAGCTCCACTCCAGGCCTCCTCCCTGAAGCACTGCTGCCTCTCATCTGACTCTCCCATACCCTACACTTCCAGATCTTCACCCCTAGATCTGGGCTTCCATGGCCCATAGTAAGGCCTGGAGCCTCTGTGGGAGTTCCGTCTTAATTTGTCAGTCCAGTTCTTAGCCTCAGGCACTCACCATGCAGATCAGCAGCCTTCTGGTGAAAGTCACAGGCTTCTCGATAGTTTCCAAGGGCATTGTGGGCCATCCCGAGGTTCCTTAGCACAGTGGCCTGCTCTCCTGGTTGATGGCACAGGGGCAAGGCCTGCAAGAAAGCCTCCACAGCCAGAGGGAACAGCTGGAGCTGAGAGTAGCTCAGGCCTAGGTCATTATAGAGGTGTCCTAGAGGGCACAGGGGAGACACTGGTAGCCAGATCAGTCATAACTAAGGCTATAGGAGTACCATCCCACCCACTACTCCAGGTCCCCCAGCCCCTTCCCCAGAATTCAGAGTCTTCCCCTGCTCAAGGTCCCTTCCTCTACTCAAGGTCTCACCCAGCAGTTCACGCTCAGTGCTCATCTCAGCAAGTCTCCGGCTCTCCTCCAGCACCTGTACCACCTCACCCAGCCCATGCTGCCCACTCTTCAGCATACACCTGGCTGCAGCCCCTAATGCCAGGGCTGCCGCCTGGGGCTGCCCCACTTGGGTGTAGGCCTGGCTTGCCTTCTGCAGGCAGTGGGCTGCTTGCTCAGGCCACCCCAGGGTCTGGTAGCAGGCTCCCATTTTTGCTTGGGCTTCTCCTTGATTACCCTGTGCCTGGTAATGGCCCACAGCCTTGTGGTACCAGTCCAAAGCTTGGGGCAGGTCACCAAGGGCATGATAGGCCAAAGCCACATTGAAACACTGGTCACCATGACACCTGCCCTGGGCTTTCTTTTCAGGCTGGGCTCGCAGGAGCAGCTCAAGTCCTTTGGCTGGGTTCCCAGTCTCCACATAGGCAGCCCCCAGGTTGGAGGCACAGGCCCGAAGAACAGAGGTGTCCCTGACCCACGAGGTCTCTGAGGCCAAGAGGAAGGCCTCCTGAAAGCTGACCATAGCTTCATGGCTCTGACCAGCCTGTAGGGCCCTGTGGCCAGCCTTGGTGAGGGCTTGAATGCTGGCCTCTTGCCGTAACCATTTTCTTTTCTTCTTTCTCTTCTTGCAGTTGGAGGGCTTAGGCTCCGGGGGTGCCTCCTCACAGCTGGGGGAAGACATAGGGCTGACAATGGGGAGCAGAGAGGTCAGTAAATCAGCCTTGCTTCCCCTGCAGCAGGATCCCTTTGAGGCAGCTGAGCCTTATTCCTGTCCAGGACCTCAGGGTTACAAGAATTTCTCTCCAACACTCACTTGGCTTCATCTGTCCCATCAGGCAGGGCATCAACCATCAACCCTCACTCTAATATTCTTTCCTTAGTTCTCCTGCGGGACTATGGTTCAGTTACAGCATTCTTCCAAAAGCTCTCTTCCCTCAACTAAGCATGGACTTCTGTAGCCCACAAAAGCTGACCTTTGTGTCTTTTACAGCATTTATCACGTGGTTAGAGATGCTTTGTCTTTCCCACCAGATATGGAGTAACTTGGAGACACACAGTAAATTCTAAATAAAAGTTTATTGATGGGGTCGAGGGTATGATGTATGTTAACAGACAACAGAATACTGTTATATAATATGAATTTGGCTATTAAAAAAAAAGAACATTGTTATAGTTTCCCTCCTGGAATGTGTGACCAAAGAGAAAGGAACATCCCAGTCCCATAGTGGGCTGGTCTGGTCCAGTCCTCCCGTATGAGCCTTCTTGAGGAAGACCTAGAGGAGAGCCCAACACTGTAAGTACTGAGATTTATGAAGGCACAAATTCCATGACATGCAGACAACTAAAGAAGACAATGCTGGAGGCTCACTTGCTGGTGATGCATGAGAGCCACTCACAAACTCCTGAGAATGTGTCACTCTGATGGCCATCGTATGTATGCTGTATGCTGGTTCAACTGCCATATTTACAAAAACAAAAAGGGGGGAAAGTTGGGAACCACAAATTATAAATTGAGGCTAGGGCCTGGAGGCCTTAATGAATATCTTAATAATCCTGTGATGCTGTAACAATCCAGGGGAAGACCTTCATTAGCTTAAGATCACAACTACCCTCTGAATCATCTAGTGATCCTCATCAAATCCTTCGTAGCATAAGACTACCACCGCCATCTGAGTAATCCAATAATCTCCTAGCCATTTCCCTCAATGTGACCAGTAAATACAAACGTTCTGGCTGCCTCATGGCCTTTTGTTCCCTATGAACAACTGGTCATCCCATATCCCTGTTGCACCAAAAAAAAAAAAAGTTTATTAAACCAGATCAGATGGTGCACACCTGTAATCCCAGCATGCTGAGAGGCTGAGGCAGGAGGATTACAAATTCAAACTCTGGACCATTTAACAAGAGCCTATCTCAAATAAAAAAGAAAAAAGGCCTGAGAATGCAGCTCAGGGTAAAGATCTTGGGTTTAATCCCCCATCTCTCTTTCCCTCTCTCTCTCCCTCACCACACACACACACACACACACACACACACACACTCACACAATTAGAATGAGGGTATAGTTCAGTAATGAACCACTTGCCATGCATACATTTGGCCGAGGGCCAAACTTTAAAAAGTTAAAATAGTAAGTTGCATCTACTTTGGCATATCTTTTAAAAAATTTATGGAGTGAACGCAGAACGAACAGCACACACAGTGCCTTTCCCTCTCACCTCCTTACACTGTTTCCTATGGTCTGCTCGTAGTCCAGACATGGTCCAGGCCTGCGAGCTCCTGCTGAGTGCTGAGCCATGCTAAGCACTGGGGGCCAGAGATGAACAGGCTGCTGAATGTGCAAGGAACCAAACTCCAGGAATGGATTCTGCTGCAAACTTTACACCTCCCCACTTCAGGGAACTTCTGACTCCCATCTCCTCTGCTATCTGCTGGCTGGTTCTGGACCCCCAACATCCTGTTTGAGTCTCTAGAGCCCCTTACATACCTTCATCTCATCGGCACTATATCCTGCTTCATAACTTTCCCCTGGAAAGGCAAAGCCCTTTGCTGAACTCTCCTCCCAGGAGACAGAAAAAGAAGCGGAAGAGACCCAGCCTTTGGTCAGTTGGTCCTTCTCTCCCTTCTTGCTCTTCATCTTTATTTTTTTTTCTTTCTTTCTTTCTTTCCTTTTTTAGCAGAGGTAGGCAAAATGATGATTTCAGAGAAATTCCCTTTGCTTCTAAGCACCCAGAACTCCTGACCTTTCAAGGACTTTTCAAAGGGACTCCTGACCCCCCCTCCCAGTCTTGGGGGCTACCTCTATAGGGCAAATTACCTCCTCGGTTTTCTCCGCAGTTGGCTTTGTGGAATGGTTCCTCTGGCTTGAGTTACTTTCCCTAGCTCTTAGCTTATAGCCCCCAGGGTTACCAGACAACCAGGTACCACCCTCCCACTGCTAGGGAACTCTTTGAATGACAGCTCAGGTGACCTATCTTAGTCCTGAACTCTGATGGTGCTTGGCACAGACACCTGACTGGCCTACCCTCCCCGCCCTGCCTCAACCCCACCCCTCAGGTCCCTTATTTCAAGGGGTGATCCAATGCATCACAAGGCTGGTTACCTAATAACACCAAGATTATCTAGCCTAGGGCTGGGGATTTAGCTCAGCGGCATAAGCGCCTGCCTTGTAAGCAGGCAGTCGTGAGTTCGATCCCTGGCACCAAGGAAAAAGAAAAAAAAAAAAAAGATTATGTATCCTTTCCCTTCATTTCACAAAGGAAGTACCTGAGACTCAGAGAGTGGTTGTGACTTCCCTGAGTCACACAGCAGTCATGTAGCTGTGATTAGACCCCTCCCCCCAAGTTTACTTATTTTTCTTTTTTGTGGTTCTACAAAATTGAGCCCGGGAACTTTACATCAAACTTTACCCCCAGCTCTTTTTATTTTTTGTTTTGAAGGAGTCCAACCACCATCACCCTGATTAGAGACCTCTCTAAAACCTCCCACCACACCTGTACCTGAGGACTCATAGCACTATCAGCGCTGCAATTAATAGTAGCCACTACTCCCTGCACTTTCCCAAGCCTTATCCTTGGGCAACCATTATCCCTTGTACTCTCAAGTTCTTGGCAGATAGCCACAACCTCCTCTCACTGAACTCCTCTCCCCATGAACCTGCAGAAGACCCCACAGCCTAATGAGAGTAGCTAGTCTGGTCTCTAGTGACAGTGATCCCTCTCAGGTTTGTTCTGCAGTAAACCTATCCTGTTGAACTCGTATGCCCATTTCTTTTCCTTTTTCCTAATAGGTATACTTCTGTGCTGGGACAGACCCTTGGTTTTCTGGTTCAAGGTACTCAGCCGAGGACCCCACTAACACGATGATTGTAAAATGTAATGGGGCTTGGACTATGGTGAAAGTCAATCTCAATATCTCTCTCTCTCTCTCTCTCTCTCTCTCTCTGTCTGTCTCTCTCTCTGTCTCTCTCTCTCTCTGTCTCTCTCTGTCTCTCTCTCTCTCTCTCTCTCTCTCTCTCTCTCTCTCTCTGTCTGTCTCTCTGTCTCTCTCTCTCACACCGTGCCTCTGTGTGATAGTTCCATACTTGGTGCCAGGGTGAAAGCTTGATGGTCAGAAAAGTCTTGGAGATCAGAGCTTCCCTGCCCCTATGCCCCTTGTCTCAGTTCTATGATCAACAACCTCCAGGTTCTGCTTCTTGAGAGGACAACAGGCCCCAGAAGAACAGGGACATAATGACCCAACTTGCCAGTGATAGCCTACACCAGAAAGCAAATATCTTCACTTACCTTGAGAAAGGCCTTTTTTTTTTTTAAGTTCGTTTGTTTTTGTGGTACTAGGCATACCACGGAGCTATGTCCCCAACCCTTTAGTTATTTTAAGATAGAGTCTCCCTGAATTGCTCAGGCTGGTCTTGAACTTGCAGTCTACCCACCTCAGCCTTCCCAGTAGTTAGAATTATAGCACCATTGCATTCAACAAGAAAGGCCTCTTAAGTACAGAGATCTTTGCCAGAAATAAATGTATGAGGATGTACTTGGACTCACCTGCATTTCCCCTGCAGCCTTGGCTGCATGCCTGCTGTGCACAGGTGTGGTGCCCCTTTGCTAGGGGTGCTGATGCCCAGGGCAAGCACTCTGCTGGCTGTAGCTTCTGCCCTCAGGCTGAATCCTCAGGAGGCATTCATAGCCTGGCTGCTTAGTAGGCTTCTCTTAAGGACAGAAGGTGATTTGGGAAATGGCAGTAACCTCCCAACCAATGATCCAATGACTATTTCTAACTCATTTCTTTTTTTTTTTAATCAGTACCAGAGATTGAACTCACAACCGCCTGCTTGCAAGGCAGGTGCTTATGCCGCTGAGCTAAATCCCCAGCCCCTAACTCATTTCTTTTTTATTCTGGGATATATCAACCACATCTCTTGCAACTCCCTCTTCATTTACAATGCATGACCCACTATGTCCTGACTCTCCCCTGTGATGATAGTTCCTTTTCCAGCTCCTTTCTGGGTCTTCTGTCTATCTACTAAATGCTAGTGCACTCCAGCACTCTGCCCTTTGTTATTTTCTCTTTTTATTTCATGTACTTTTCCCAGAACATCTCATCTATTCCTCTGATTTTAACACTGCTAAGCCAGTATTTCTAAGTGTATACTTCACTTATTCAGGTAAAACTCATCTTTTTCCCATGTTCTTAGTGTTATTAGTTGTCTTAGTTACTTTTCTCATTGCTAAGACAAAATAACCACGCCCAAAGTTAAAGCAGGAAAGTTTATTTTGGCTCACAGTTTATAGCAGTTTCAATTCATAGTTGGTTGGCTCCAAGTCAGACATCGCAGAGCAGATAGGCAGAAGACAGCAAGCAGCAAGGACCAGGAAGGAGCACCACAGCTCTTCCTGTCCCTTACATCTTACCCAGGTTATCCTGAGGGTGGGTGGCACTCACACTTTTAATCCTAGCATTGGCGAATGTATCCCAGCATCACATCCTTGATCTCATCAGCACAAATCCTAAATCCAGGCACCTCCAAAAAGCCCCACCTATGAATGCATGCAGTTCTGGAGGATTATCTAGATACAAGTCATAACATTAGTAGAACAGTCTATAAGCGAGAAATCTAAGAGAAGCTTTTGGTTCCTTCTTCTCCAGCCTACCTTTGAAATTTCTACCCCCTTTGTGTAGTCTCATGGCCTTGGAGGTGGTACTATCTATATACAGTAGTTAAGAATTCAAATTGAAGCTGGGTGTGGTGGCTCACACCTATAATCCCAGCACTCAGGAGGCTGAGGCAGGAGGATCTTTTGAGTTGAGACCAGCCTGGGCTACAAAGTGAGCTCAAGGCCATCCTGAACTGCATAGAGAGACCCTGTCTCCAAAAGACAAAAAAAAAAAAAAAAAAAAAGAATTCAAGTTGAGGGCCGGAGATTTAGCACAGCGGCATAAGTGCCTGCCTTACAAGCACACAGTTGTGAGTATGATCCCCAGTACAAAAAGAAAAAAGAAACGAATTGAATTCAAGTTGAGGGTCCAGAAATTTAGCTCAGTGGAATAAGCGCCTGCTTGGCAAGCTCGAGGTCATGAGTTCAATCCCTGGTACAAAAAAAAAAAAAAAAAAAAAATTCAAGTTGAGTGTGGTGGAGTATA